GTTTCCCTTCTTCAGCAGACTTAAGAGGTTTCCCTTCTTCAGCAGACTTAAGAGGTTTCCCTTCTTCAGCAGACTTAAGAGGTTTCCCTTCTTCAGCAGACTTAAGAGGTTTCCCTTCTTCAGCAGACTTAAGAGGTTTCCTTTCTTCAGCAGACTTAAGAGGTTTCCCTTCTCGTAGCTCGTAATCCTCACCTTAATAGTTCCTCTTAGAACACGACCCGCTAAGCAGTTAACCAGATACCAAATTACTGCTGAGTAAATACGGGCGAATAGTTAAGAATTGGGGCCGAGTCAATCCTCCCTGATGGCCAGGATTCGATCCCAGACCAATTCGATCACGAGGCGCAAGGCGAGTGTGTTATCACTACGCCACCAGGAACTGTTCATTTCCGTTTAGTGATAAGATTTAAACTTGGTTTGGATAGGATCACCACGACTGGGAGCCGGTCGGCCGAGCGGACAGCACGCTAGACTTGTAATCCTGTGGTCCCGAATTCGATCCCAGGCGCCGGCGAGAAACAATGGGCAGAGTTTCTTTCACCCTATGCCCCCTGTTACCTAGCAGTAAAATAGGTACCTGGGTGTTAATCAGCTGTCACGGGCTGCTTCCTGGGGGTGGAGGCCTGGTCGAGGACCGGGCCGCGGGGACACTAAAAAGCCCCGATATCATCTCAAGATAACCTCAAGGGTAAGTTCAGAACACCCAGTAGAGCACTTCCCACTGACTATTCAACTTCAACCGTTACCAAACATCTGGGTCGTAATTGTTAATGTAATGTGATAAACTGACATATTTGTGTACGATATTTTACGCTGATGAACGAACTTATTTACACGTGAGCGAAATATTTATATAAGACACTTAAGGGTTCAAAATATTACACGTGCCGAATTGAATTTAAAATGAGAGAATTAACACAAATTAAGTGTTTAATGCTTTTCTGGGAACTATAAGTGTGCTATTGGGTGAGAGTCCTAGATTATTGTGCCAGATTCACGAAGCAGTTACGCAAGCACTTACGAACCTGTACATCTTTCCTCAATCTTTGACGGCTTTGTTTGCATTTATTAAACAGTTTACAAGCATGAAAATTTGCCAATCAACTGTTGTTGTTGTTATAAACAGCCTCCTGGTGCTTCGGAGCTCATTAACTGTTTAATAATTGTAAACAAAGCCGCCAAAGATTGAGAAAAGATGTACAGGTTCGTAAGTGCTTGCGTAACTGCTTCGTGAATCTGGCCCCTGTTCACGCACGCACACACACACACACGCCCTAAGCCTCTGGCTGGCCCACTAAGTGTTACTTGTTTCTCGTTTATGTCTTACTTAGGCAGTGTATGAGTATTTGTGACTCATACACACACACACACACACACACACACACATTCCATTTGTGGTTGACAAATGGAATGCATTAGGCAGTGATGTTGTGGAGGCTGACTCCATACCCAGTTTCAAGCGTAGATATGATAGAGCCCAGAAGGCTCAGGAATCTGTACACCTGTTGATTGACGGTTGAGAGGCGGGACCAAAGAGCCAGAGCTCAACCCCCGCAAGCACAATTAGGTGAGTACATACACAGAGTACATTTCACATCTGTAAGTTACACTTTGTTCAATTATCCAGCTTGAAAAGATGAACTTGGAGTGTAATTATCCACCAATTGGATCTCCTGGTACCCTTAAACCAGCCTCCTGGGCCATGGTACGCCTTACCAGTGTTGGTACCATCACTGGTGGTGGTGTTGGTACCTTGGTGACAGGGTACCAAGTGTCGATACCAGCTACAGTCTGTATAGAGTGTCGACCCACCGCTGCCACCACACACACACACGCTTCAGTTCTCCCTTACCGTTACCTGCATAAAAAGTTGTTTAGCCAAATAACACGGCTCACCAAATTGACTTTCCAGAGCGTAATTTGCACTGAGTTTCTGCAAAATTCGAGGTCACGGAGGTAAAAATTGCTCTCTCTCTCTCTCTCTCTCTCTCTCTCTCTCTCTCTCTCTCTCTCTCTCTCTCTCTCTCTCTCTCTCTCTCTCTCTCTCTCTCTCTCTCTCTCTCTCTCTCTCTCTCTCTCTCTCTCTCTCTCTCTCTCTCTCTCTCTCTCTCTCTCTCTCTCTCCCTCACCCCTCCTCCCTCTCTATCTCACTCCCTCCTTCCCTCCCTCCTCTCTCAAAGTCTCTTTTAAACCACACCAAAAAAAAATACCTGAGGCTGAATAAATTCATTTCCAAGACATAATAAACTGCCGGGCGCCGCAAACTGAATTACGAGCAAAACAATTAGAGAAAATTATCTCCGAAGGCGTAAATATGTCTCCGCAGCGGAATAAATCAAGCGAGGGCTAACTAGGACTAATAGAGCGGAATAAATCAAGCGAGGGCTAACTAGGACTAATAGAGCGGAATAAATCAAGCGAGGGCTAACTAGGACTAATAGAGCGGAATAAATCAAGAGTGAGAGCCAAGAAGATGAAGAAAAGGACAAATATCAAACCCAACCAACAAATAATACATCTATTCATATCTACAAAAACGTGTGTGTGTGTCTGTCTGTGTCCAAGGAAGCCTGAGGCTTCGGGCAAGCCTTCCCTCCCAACGTTTAAAGATGACACGTGCGGGGTATGGGAATGTCATAAGTCATTTCGAGAAAGGTACTATAGTGCCTCACTTTAATATCAATCCCTATAGCAAGCCACGTAACACTACATTTTCTGATACATATATATATATATATATATATATATATATATATATATATATATATATATCAGAACCCATGCCAGCCTTTCATGCTTGCGAACATTTTCAATTCAAATTTGGTAATACTATTTAAATGATTGAAAGCTTAAAAATGGCTGTAAACACATTCTATTAGTTTGTGGAACAACGACTGTTTTAAATATTTTGTGTTTTGGAAAGTGTGTTCACAACACTGTAAATTATATTTGAAAAATGTTCAAACTCAAAACGACAGCTCGGTAATTACGCCCAGACTACTAGTTATATATATATATATATATATATATATATATATATATATATATATATATATATATATATATATATATATATATATATATGTCGTACCTAGTAGCCAGAACTCACTTCTCAGCCTACTATGCATGGCCCGATTTGCCTAATAAGCCTAGTTTTCATGAATTAATGTTTTTTCGACAACCTAACATACCTAACCTAACCTAACCTAACGTTTTCGGCTTCCTAACCTAACCTAAACTATAAAGATAGGTTAGGTTAGGTTAGGTAGGGTTGGTTAGGTTCGGTCATATATCTACGTTAATTTTAACTCCAATAAAAAAAAATTGACCTCATACATAATGAAATGGGTAGCTTTATCATTTCATAAGAAAAAAAATTAGAGAAAATATATTAATTCAGTAAAACTTGGCTTATTAGGCAAATCGGGCCTCGCATAGTAGGCTGAGAAGTGAGTTCTGGCTACTAGGTACGACATATATATATATATATATATATAAACCATAATGCATAATATTACAATGTAATACAGTACTGTATCGGGGGGTAAATACAGTTCTCCTGTTGTATACAGAGGTGCCGATACACCTATCTGCCTCCGCTGCTTATTGGTCGTACTGTTTAACAAGGTCGTTATCGATGATAACGACTCATGACACAAGGACATAACCCCACAGGGTGACGGTCAATAACATGTACGAGACACAGCCTTCAAACAAAGCTTATATGACCTGGTCATTGTTGATCAATCAGGCTGTGAGGTGTTGTATGTTACACGACAAGTGTATGGATGTTGCTTTTTGCTGGGTTTAGTGTGGTGTACAAGGCTGGCCAGCTGGCTGGCCACACCCAGCAACCTCTACTCCCAGCTGGCAGCACCCAGCAACCTCTACTCCCAGCTGGCCGCACCCAGCAACCTCTACTCCCAGCTGGCCGCACCCAGCAACCTCTACTCCCAGCTGGCTGCACCCAGCAACCTCTACTCCCAACTGGCCGCACCCAGCAACCTCTACTCCCAGCTGGCCGCACCCAGCAACCTCTACTCCCAGCTGGCCACACCCAGCAACCTCTACTCCCAGCTGGCCACACCCAGCAACCTCTACTCCCAGCTGGCCGCACCCAGCAACCTCTACTCCCAGCTGGCTGCACCCAGCAACCTCTACTCCCAGTTGGCCACACCCAGCAACCTCTACTCCCAGCTGGCCGCACCCAGCAACCTCTACTCCCAGCTGGCCGCACCCAGCAACCTCTACTCCCAGCTGGCTGCACCCAGCAACCTCTACTCCCAGCTGGCTGCACCCAGCAACCTCTACTCCCAGTTGGCCACACCCAGCAACCTCTACTCCCAGTTGGCCACACCCAGCAACCTCTACTCCCAGCTGGCAGCACCCAGCAACCTCTACTCCCAGCTGGCCACACCCAGCAACCTCTACTTCCAGCTGGCAGCACCCAGCAACCTCTACTTCCAGCTGGCAGCACCCAGCAACCTCTACTCCCAGCTGACCACACCCAGCAACCTCTACTCCCAGCTGGCAGCACCCAGCAACTAACACCACCTAGTCGCCTATAGCAACACGCACGATGTTGCTATATCAAATGATCAAATGTGCGGCCCGAGAGTTAAAGCCCAACCTCCTACCCTTCACCACAGACAAGTTCATTCACGCAAACATTGCCCAAACGCCGGACAGTAATTCACTCCGTAATCTTCACTCCACGAGTGTAAATTCCAGCCATTCGACAGTTTAAAACTTTTACCTCCAAGATATCGTAAATTACAATATACTGATACTTTTCTTTATGGCACAATAGATGGCAAAACTTAACCTGAGAATTATGGTCTATTGGTTGTTCCTTAACTCAGTGCTGCCCAACCGTTTTTGTAGACCCTTAATAGAAAATAATGTGCGAGGTAGTTAATATAAAGTTATGTAAAAAGAAGTTTTTTTTTAATAAATAAAATATCTTTTCAATTATGATAACAAGCCGCCACGAGTATGATAGCTTAAAAAGAGATAACTAAGCAAATCCACAAGGTCAGTGACGAGGATTCGAACCTGCGTCCGGGAGCATCCCAGACACTGCCTTAATCGACTGAGCTAAATAAAATATTTAAATTGCCCTTGTGGATTTGTTCATTTGATGCATCACGTTAGTGTGATCTCTGTGTGATAACTAAGCAATTTGCTTACGATATTCAGTATAAAAGAATTACAATGAATGAACACCGGTCAACACCGGGGAGCCGGTCGGCCGAGCGGACAGCACGCTGGACTTGTGATCCTGTGGTCCCGGGTTCGATCCCAGGCGCCGGAGAGAAACATTGGACAGAGTTTCTTTCACTCTATGCCCCCCTGTTGCCTAGCTGTGAAATAGGTACCTGGGTGTTAGTCAGCTGTCACGGGCTGCTTCCTGGGGAGTGGAGGCCTGGTCGAGGACCGGGCCGCGGGGACACTAAAAAGCCCCGAAATCATCTCAAGATAACCTCAAGATAACATGCTGCAATTACAACAGCACACATACAAAATTAATAAAAAGATTGAAGAACTGAAGCCTTTTATTCAAATCATCTCTACTTCAAGTTTTGGTAAAAATGGGCCTGTGTCTTTTTTTATATAAAACATCGACATTAAGGATTTTTGTTAAAGGATTTTGATCTTCGGGTCTAAAACCGATTTTTGTCCATTGTTTTCAAGATTCATTTTCATCAGAAAATGGCAAAAAAGATGTTTCGGTCCGTCCTGAACCTTTCTCAAGCCGTGTAATTCATAAAGGCAGAAAACCCGCGGTCACTAAGGTAACTTAGTTGTAAAAAGCAGCAACAATTTTGGAGCTTCCAACTTTATGTGCAATTTTAAAAGCCTTTGCAGTTTTTGACATGCGAAAAGATTAGGGATTAGTCTTGATATTTCCTGCGAGCTTCGCTGTTGGAGCCAAGTTCAAGATGCTACTCTTCACAGGCTGATGGATCATCAAGTTGATGGCTGAAGGCATTTACAATCCAACTGATAGTATGTAAATTAAGCTCGGGGGGGAAAGTTATCAGTGAACAGCTTTCTGAGTTTGATCAGCTGCCTTAACTAACTCCTTAATATCACAAATGTTCCGAATTTTCAACACATCTTCCACAAACATACAAAAAAACTGCGAGTTATTTTTAAAAACTTCTTTAACTTTAAAAAACTTTTAAAAACTTATTTCCCTTTCTGGATCCAGTTCAGAAGCCTCGATCCAAATGCTGAAATATTTTCGCTGGTTAAAATGGATGGTTTTCCCCTTGCAATTCCTTGTTCAAAAATATTCACGTGCCCAAACGTGTCCGCAAAATATGGGAGATGCGCCAACCAAGTGGAAGCTCTCAACGTGTCGGTAAGAGCATATTTTTGATCCACCAGAAAGATTTCCAAGCTCAGTTCTGAGAGTCCACAGCTGATGCAGAACATTTCCACGGGAAAAATCACCTTTACTTCTGCAACAAAAAAAGAAATTTCAAATATTCAGCTTCCCGGACGGCCGAGCGGACAGCACGCTGGACTTGTGATCCTGTGGTCCTGGGTTCGATCCCAGGCGCCGGCGAGAAACAATGGGCAGAGTTTCTTTCATCCTATGCCCCAGTTACCTAGCAGTAAAATAGGTACCTGGGTGTTAGTCAGCTGTCACGAGCTGCTTCCTGGGGTTGGAGGCCTGGTCGAGGACCGGGCTGCGGGGACACTAAAGCCCCGAAATCATCTCAAGATAACCTCAAGATAACCTCCCCCCCCATCCTCACGTCAATCACGACATACCCAGTGTTTAGTGAACAACCTTTGACACCATTGTCAAAGCAACCTGGCAAGCTTGACCACATCTCTCGTGACAGCTTCGAGGGGGCCAGATTCACGAAAGCACTTACAAACGTGTACATCTTTCCTCAATCTTTGACGGCTTTGGTTACATTTATTAAACAGTTTACAAGCATGAAAACTTGTCAATCAACTGTTGTTATTGTTATAAACAGCTTCCTGGTGCTTCGGAGCTCATTAACTGCTAAATAATTGTAAACAAAGCCGTCAAAGATTGAGAAAAGATGTACAGGTTCGTAAGTGCTTCCGTGAATCTGGCACCAGTTCAGGTCCCAAATGCTGCTCAAATAATTCCCTATCCAGGGATTACTGTGGTAACTTCTATTTTTGGGTTCTGTTTTTAGCCAAAGCTGAAAAGCCACTTACATAACCCAACGTGGCTGGAGCTCCATCAACACACACACCAATACAGTCATCAACACTATCAATCAACAATTGATGTTCTGAAGTGTGCATTAACCTTGCTGAAGACATCAACTCCACGAGCTAATATGTCAAATTGAAGAATACAATTTCTTCTTCAATTGCATCTGAACCACTGTATCGAACATACATCTTCACATGAGAAATGCTGCTGATATCAGGAGTCAAGCTGAATAGCAAAAATGTTTGCTGTCTTTGATTGAAGAAATCACTTGTTCCCTCATATCTTACACCAAGATGGAAATCTCTCTCACACACACAGATCTTGCAGACAAAAGCACTGAACGCAGTGCTTCTTTCTGGCCACACACACACACACACACACACACACACACACACACACACACACACACACACACACACACACACACACACACACACACACACACAACCTAGCAACCTAGAGCACCTAGAGCACACACACACAGCCTAGAGCCCAGTAGGCTCAGGAATCTGTACACCAGTTGATTGACAGTTGAGAGGCGGGACCAAAGAGCCAAAGCTCAACCCCCGCAAGTACAAATAGGTGAGTACACACACACATACACACACAGGACTTTTGCCAATTTCACAGCTGCAGGTTTGACGGATTCTTGACAGCCCAGCACGCAACTGCTGCTGCTGCTCCTGTATATCAACTACGCCACTTCAAAGCTAACTCCTGATACCAAACGCTGATCAAATGTACCTCTCAAGTTGCTTTCCAATCTCTTGCTTTTTGACAGCTCTTTCCAAATTCTCAAGAGTATCTTCCCGGTTTGAAACAGAGATGCGAGTGCAAATTTTCTATTTTTTTCCAAATGATTGTTTTTTGAGAGTGTGTGTGGAGGCAGGACTCTCAAACACACAATACAGTGTGACTTCACTTGTCTCTTCTACTATTTCTGAGAACCCATAGTTGAGGAACTTTGCTAGTTACATCGTTACCTTGACCTATTTGACGCCGTCTGAAGGGTATATGTGAAAATTATTAAAAAAGGGCAAATGTAAACAAAATAGTTTATATATATATATATATATATATATATATATATATATATATATATATATATATATATATATATATATATATATATATATATATATATATATATGCGAACAAGCCTGAATGGTCCCCAGGACATATGCAACTGAAAACTCACACCCCAGAAGTGACTCGAACCCATACTCCCAGAAGCAACGCAACTGGTATGTACAAGACGCCTTAATCCACTTGACCATCACGACCGGACAAAATGAGGTGATAGCCGAGGCTATATGAACCACCCCACCGCCGGCACTCGGATAGTTATCTTGGGCATAGCATTTTACCAAATCACCTCATTCTTTGGGGCACACGTGAGGAACACAAATGCGAACAAGCCTGAATGGTCCCCAGGACAGGCCTCATTTTGTCCGGTCGTGATGGTCAAGTGGATTAAGGCGTCTTGTACATACCAGTTGCGTTGCTTCTGGGAGTATGGGTTCGAGTCACTTCTGGGGTGTGAGTTTTCAGTTGCATATGTCCTGGGGACCATTCAGGCTTGTTCGCATTTGTGTTCCTCACGTGTGCCCCAAAGAATGAGGTGATTTGGTAAAATGCTATGCCCAAGATAACTATCCGAGTGCCGGCGGTGGGGTGGTTCATATAGCCTCGGCTATCACCTCATTTTGTCCGGTCGTGATGGTCAAGTGGATTAAGGCGTCTTGTACATACCAGTTGCGTTGCTTCTGGGAGTATGGGTTCGAGTCACTTCTGGGGTGTGAGTTTTCAGTTATATATATATATATATATATATATATATATATATATGAGACTAATCTGGTTCCTCTGAGCAACGATCTCTCAACCCAATTCGACTCTTGGGCTCTATTTAATCAGTAAAATTGAGCTTAACAAACTAAATTAATTACTAATCATTAAAAACTATTTGCCAATATGTAAAATTTCCCTATTTACATCTGGTAGGCAAATACTGATAATCAGTTATTTCGCAATTTCACTCCAATTACAACTCTCGAATCCAATTTCTACTACGACATAACTGAACCTGATTTGAAATGCGAAACTTCATTCATTATCTTGTCAAAGCTCCATTGCAATTTTCAGTTTCCAAGATTTTCATTCTTTCATTCTTCTCCTTCACAAAATTCATTACTGTTTACAAACAAAAAAATGCCAGAAACATGAACCAATCCACACAAGAGAATAACGAAAGTTAATTAACAAATGCGTTACGTAATAAAAATATCGTTTAATAAAAAAATCGTTTAATAAAAAAATCGTTTAATAAAAAACTCGTTTAATAAAATAATCGTTTAATAAAAAAATCGTTTAATAAAAAACTCGTTTAATAAAAAACTCGTTTAATAAAAAACTCGTTTAATAAAAAAATCGTTTAATAAAAAAACTCGTTTAATAAAAAAATCGTTTAATAAAAAAATCGTTTAATAAAAAAATCGTTTAATAAAAATATCGTTTAATAAAAAAATCGTTTAATAAAAAAATCGTTTAATAAAAAAATCGTTTAATAAAAAAATCGTTTAATAAAAAAACGTTTAATAAAAAAAAACAGTTTTTAAGAAATAAAAATCACGGAACAGTCATAGTCGAGATTTAAACAATTTATGAATTTAATATTGATAAAAAAAAATTCGATGACTGTTTTTCCATGACTTTTCCATAACTTTATATTTTCTGACCAATTTCCATGACTAACTTTGTCTACCTTTTTCTTGGTTCCTGGAAGCAATACTTCGGCGGCCCGGTCTCTGATTATTTCATGGTTTTTCCATAACCTTTAGAACCCAGTTTTCACTCGCTGTTGACCTGTGAGTCATATATGTGACCTGTGAGTCATATATGTGACCTGTGAGTCACATATCTGACCTGAGAGTCACATTTCTGACCTGTGAGTCACATATCTGACCTGAAAGTCACATATCTGACGACTGAATCAATTCTGACATGGAAGTTGTGACCTCTGACCTCGTCCTCAGAGACTGTGACCAGGGGCAGGTCTCCTGAACGACCCGTGACCCCGGGGGCGCCGTCCCCTACCGGACCGGGCCAGGGGGGGCGGCGTCCCCTCCTGATTCGGTCTCTCGGGGGGCAACACCGGGAAATTGCCTCTCCAAGTTTCAGCCTCGTCCAGCGATAGTTACTGTGTCATGTGTGTCCTAATATGGCCGCTGACAGTGTATCCTGTGTCCTAATATGGCCGTTGACAGTGTATCCTGTGTCCTAATATGGCCGTTGACAGTGTATCCTGTGTCCTAATATGGCCGTTGACAGTGCATCCTGTGTCCTAATATGGCCGTTGACAGTGTATCCTGTGTCCTAATATGGCCGTTGACAGTGTATCCTGTGTCCTAATGTGTGAAATGTTCTACTGTGTACCTGGAGTGCCCCGGGGGTCACAATACCCCCGGGGCACCCATCAAGAGTGCCCCAGGAGGGGACTCCGCCCCCCAGGTCGTCTGGTGCTCTTCTAGCGGTAAACTTTGTCGCGAGTAGACTAATATGGCCGGCCTGGCAAGTTTAGTGGATGGGGGGGGGGCGTGGTGGGGGGTGAGGGTTTGGAGATAAGGAGAGATGAGAGAGGGGGGAAGGTGAGAGGGATTAGGGAGAGCAGGGTGAGAGGGGGAGAGTGAGCGATGGAATGTCTATTCCGTAATATTTTTCATGTCGTGGTCATGTCTTCAGTCTCACTTTTAATATGCAGCCAAGTGCGGTTTCTTTAATTTCCTTGTAGGTCACACCTCTCAGCTCTGGGACCAGCCTGCTTGACTAGCTCTTTAACTTTTTTTTTCCAGTTGCCTTACTCGCTGCGTGAGTGCGTGCGTGCATACCTGCACACCAGAAGTTACACACACAAGGCTGTTGGAGGCTGACTCCATACACAGTTTCAAGTGTAGATATGATAAGAGCCCAGTAGGCTCAGGAACCTGTACACCTGTTGATTGACCGATTACACGTTGTAATCTTGGAACCTGTACACGTTGATTGATTGAGTACAACTAGGTGAGTACACACAGTCAGTACATTAATTAGTCAAATGTGGCTGGAGTGTGTGTGTGTGTGTGTGTGTGTGTGTGTGTGTGTGTTTGTGTGTGTGTGTGTGTGTGTGTGTGTGTGTACTCACCTAGTTGTGCTTGCGGGGGGTTGAGCTCTGGCTCTTTGGTCCCGCCTCTCAACTGTCAATCAACTGGTGTACAGGTTCCTGAGCCTACTGGGCTCTTATCATATCTACACTTGAAACTGTGTATGGAGTCAGCCTCCACCACATCACTGCCTAATGCACTCCATGTGTGTCTGTGTGTGTGTGCGTGAGTGTGCGTGTGAGGGGCGGGGCCGGGAGCTGGGGGTCACCGCCCCCCGCCCATTAATCCTAATAGGTTTTTAATTTGGCTACCGACACGAAGTGTGCCTTACGGGCGTGTCAACACCACTACCTCCACCACGCGCCAACTCCACTAATGGACAAATAACGCACCTCTCTCTTACTCTTGTATAATGCGGCTGCGGAACACAGCATTTGTATGCTGGCGCAGCACACATCATGCAGCATTAGCCTAGCGCAGAGCGCGGCAAGGCTGGCCAGACCAAACCAGCCTAGTTCTCTGGGCTGGTTAGTCATTTGTCAGCTGCCCTGTCAGCTCTGCTCAGGCCCCAGCCCCCCCCTGTCAGCTCTGCTCAGGCCCCAGCCCCCCCCCCCCTGTCAGCTCTGCTCAGGCCCCAGCCCCCCTGTCAGCTCTGCTCAGGCCCCAGCCCCCCCCTGTCAGCTCTGCTCAGGCCCCAGCCCCCCCTCCCCCCTGTCAGCTCTGCTCAGGCCCCAGCCCCTTTGTCAGCTCTGCTCAGCAGCAGGTCAAAGCAGACTAGATCAAGTATATCTGACTCCACTGTACAATATGAACGAAGGGCCAGCTTGGAGCCCACACATAGGCACTTACCATTAGGTTAGCACCACTTGTAGTTCTTAAACTAACTACCTAAATGATGAGAAGAACCTGAGAGGGGTAATGATCCCACCGTAGTAGATGGTATACAGAGGATACATGTTCACGTCATGCGAGATACTCAGCGGGTGGAATATTCGGTCAAATATGTAAAAAGATCACTCAATATCGGAAGAAAATGCGCACAATCCAAGTTGAGGATAAGATGTAAAGCGACACTAAGCATAACACGTGATCAACAAAGCTGTTTGACCTTGCTCCGGGCACTGAGCCGGGCTCCAGCTCTTGGGCAACCACAGTGTCACTGGAAAGGTCAAATATCCTCGTCCTCTTGACTTGACCGCAGGTAACGTGAGCCAGACGCCATTAGAGAGAGAGAGAGAGAGAGAGAGAGAGAGAGAGAGAGAGAGAGAGAGAGAGAGAGAGAGAGAGAGAGAGAGAGAGAGAGAGAGATGGAGAAAGAGCAATATCCGGGGTCTCTCACCACTCTCTCTCCACTCTTCCAGTCAACACATCGACGTAAATCCACCCTCCCCCCACCCCCCTCGTGCCGGCTTACCACCCACACCCACACACACCCACACCCCCACCCCACACATACCCAGCCACCCATACTCTTACACACCCACACCCCACACACACCTACACTTTAATCACATTCTAACGCGACTAGCCATCCACCCATCCAAGTCACTTATCCACCCACTCATCCAAGTCACTCAGCCACCCACTCATCCACCCACTCATCCCACCCAGTCAACCACCCAATCCACAATTCAGTCATAATAATAATCCAACTCTGAAAAGGATTAGAAGACGATTTTGGCTTTCCGAGTCAAGCCAATATTGACGACTCAGCATTCTGGACAAAAACAAAGATGGTTGAGACAGCGAGATAAACCAATGCCAGGGAAAAGATGCTGAAGATGCTAAAGATGCTGAAGATGCTGAAGATGCTAAAGATGCTGAAGATGCTGAAGATGCTAAAGATGCTGAAGATGCTGAAGATGCTAAAGATGCTGAAGATGCTGAAGATGCTAAAGATGCTGAAGATGCTAAAGATGCTGAAGATGCTAAAGATGCTGAAGATGCTGAAGATGCTAAAGATGCTGAAGATGCTGAAGATGCTAAAGATGCTGAAGATGCTGAAGATGCTAAAGATGCTGAAGATGCTAAAGATGCTGAAGATGCTAAAGATGCTGAAGATGCTGAAGATGCTAAAGATGCTGAAGATGCTGAAGATGCTAAAGATGCTGAAGATGCTGAAGATGCTAAAGATGCTGAAGATGCTGAAGATGCTAAAGATGCTGAAGATGCTGAAGATGCTGAAGATGCTAAAGATGCTGAAGATGCTGAAGATGCTAAAGATGCTGAAGATGCTGAAGATGCTAAAGATGCTAAAGATGCTGAAGATGCTGAAGATGCTGAAGATGCTGAAGATGCTGAAGATGCTAAAGATGCTGAAGATGCTGAAGATGCTGAAGATGCTGAAGATGCTGTAGCTTCAACGTAGATAGCTCCTCATGCTGTAAAACTACCGCTAACAATATTGAAACAAAAATCCCCCGTAGGAATTCTCTTACATAAATTGGATTATCATGAAAAATGATTTAAAATATAAATTTAAAAAAGGGACATAAGAAGAATATTTTTGTAAGTTAATATTAATACGTCAAATTTTCTGGTCCTCGCAACAAAATAAGTTATTAAAGTTATAATTAAATCTTCTTTAAGATTTTTTACAAATCTTGTAATTATAATTAATTTCTAAACCCAAATTTTATCTTGAGTTTATAGTCTATAATTGCAGATAGTACAGGTTATTAAACTCACAAGTCAATAAGCTCACAGGTTATTAAACTCACAAGTCAATAAGCTCACAGGCCATTAAACTCACAAGTCAATACGCTCACAGGTCATTAAACTCACAAGTCAATAAGCTCACAGGTCATTAAACTCACAAGTCAATAAGCTCACAGGTCATTAAACTCACAAGTCAATAAGCTCACAGGTTATTAAACTCACAAGTCAATAAACTCACAGGCCATTAAACTCACAAGTCAATAAGCTCAAAGGCCATTAAACTCACAAGTCAATAAACTCACAGGTCATTAAACTCACAAGTCAATAAGCTCACAGGCCATTAAACTCACAAGTCAATAAGCTCACAGGTTATTAAACTCACAAGTCAATAAGCTCACAGGTTATTAAACTCACAAGTCAATAAGCTCACAGGCCATTAAACTCACAAGTCAATAAGCTCACAGGTCATTAAACTCACAAGTCAATAAGCTCACAGGTTATTAAACTCACAAGTCAATAAGCTCACAGGCCATTAAACTCACAAGTCAATAAGCTCACAGGTCATTAAACTCACAAGTCAATAAGCTCACAGGTCATTAAACTCACAAGTCAATAAGCTCACAGGTCATTAAACTCACAAGTCAATAAGCTCACAGGCCATTAAACTCACAAGTCAATAAGCTCACAGGTCATTAAACTCACAAGTCAATAAACTCACAGGTCATTAAACTCACAAGTCAATAAGCTCACAGGTCATTAAACTCACAAGTCAATAAACTCACAGGTTATTAAACTCACAAGTCAATAAGCTCACAGGTCATTAAACTCACAAGTCAATAAACTCACAGGTTATTAAACTCACAAGTCAATAAGCTCACAGGTCATTAAACTCACAAGTCAATAAACTCACAGGTTATTAAACTCACAAGTCAATAAACTGACATAACAAGTCCAGACGCGGGAAGGATTATAATAATTACGTCCGGGAACTTAACCGGACTTGACCTTGATCTTGAGATGATTTCGGGGCTTTAGTGTCCCCGCGGCCCGGTCCTCGACCAGGCCTCCACCCCCAGGAATCAGCCCGTGACAGCTGACTAACACCCAGGTACCTATTTTACTGCTAGGAAACAGGGGCATAGGATGAAAGAAACTCTGCCCATTGTTTCTCGCCAGCATCGAACCCGGGACCACAGGATCACAAGTCCAGTGTGCTGTCCGCTCGGCCGACCGGCTCCTGGGGGGTACCCGGTTGTGCCTGGGTCTCTCTCTCTACTCCCTCTTTCTCTCTCTCTCCATCTCTACCCCCCATGATACGCCTTCCTCTCCTCCTCCATCTTTCTCCAACATCATCTCCCTCTCCTTCTCCCTCTCTCCCAAGCAATTAATATTACAAAGCCCTGAAAAACTGCCCAAACTGAAAACAAATCCCCTATTTCAGATTTCATGAAAATCAAACGGGTCGCATTAGGAGTCAATATTTCTTAAACGTTGGCACTAGGGCTGACCCGGCCTATGATACTCTCATACCCTCCCCTCCTTCCCCCATTTGTCATCTTGAAAAGTTATATGACGCTAAGCCAGAGCATCTGGCTTCCTACTTTAGACACAGACAGACCCTATGATAGACCCACATAACAGAGAAAATAGGCTTGGCGTCAGAAAAACTACGGTTTAGAAAGGCTGGGGTCCAAGAGCTAAGAGCTTGGCGTCGCTGGCACAGACATATGAGCACACGATTAAGGTCAGGAGGGTTAATCTTGGGCTAAAGCCACAGCCATTTCCCCTGACAGAACTAATGCAGTCGCCGCAGGAGTTAGATTTATTCTCTCAGTTGGCGCGTTAGTTTCCCGCGCAAATTCGTAAATGTTTATCTGTGTTTTACGCGGGAAAATGTACTGAACCGCGGTCGTAACTGCTGTTAGTGGTGGTCGTAACTGCTGTTAGTGGTGGTCGTAAGTGCTGTTAGTGGTGGTCGTAAGTGCTGTTAGAAGAACGTGTGATAGGACGCAATACTTACGTGTTGAGACGCTGTGTGTGAGTGAGTGAGCGTGTGTGTGAGTGTGCAGCACGCAGTCTCTCCCTCAGTGCTGCGTGCACAGCACCCCCCCCCCTCACTCAACACAGCATCAATACAACTTATAACTTTCTCTCCAGCTTACCACATTGAAACTTCAAGTTCACTCACAAGTCATACCTAAAAAAATCACTTTTGTAAACACATTTACACATCTTCTTTTGCAATTCTTTTTCCCATGTCGTGGCACAGTCGATTAAGGCGCGTCTGGGATCATCTCGGATATAAGTTCGAGTCTTCATCACGGCCCTTGTGGATGAGTTAACATTTATTCATATTTAACATACAACAGGACATTTTTAACACCATGTAAGTGAAGCCAGATACTAACAGTCTCAATAAAGTTTGCTGAAATAGACAAAAATGTGAAAACTATCAAATAATTAACGTATTTAACCATTAATTCAAAGTAATTACAGGTAATATTTTCAACCATTTGGACTGGACGGTCTCGCTTCATGCAGGTCTGCGTTCAATCCCCCGATCGTCCACAAGTGGTTGGCCCACTATTCCTTCCCGGTAAGTGCCATAAGGTCATTATGACTTAGTGATTTCTGATAAATTACCTTACCTCTAAAGTACCAATTAACATCTAAGAAATGTTTCTAAGCATTCTTCTTAGAATTTCTGGTCAAGGTTCTGGAACATAGGAGGCTATATTTTGACCCATTGAGGTTAAATATACAAAATTATATATCTTCTTGAGGTTATCTTGAGATAATTTCGGGGCTTTAGTGTCCCCGCGGCCCGGTCCTCGACCAGGCCTCCACCCCCAGGAAGCTACCCGTGACAGCTGACTAACACCCAGGTACCTATTTTACTGCTAGGTAACAGGGGCATAGGGTGAAAGAAACTCTGCCCATTGTTTCTCGCCGGCGCCTGGGATCGAACCCGGGACCACAGGATCACAAGTCCAGCGTGCTGTCCGCTCGGCCGACCGGCTCCCAATACAATATTATATACATTATATACTCCCAATATACATTAATTACAAAGATAATATATGAAAAAAAACTGTTAACGGGGATTTACTGGTTCGTTAACGCATGAGAAAAGAATTAAAACTGGACGAATAATGGAGAGATTATCAAATACTTTAAAAAGTCTAAAGTCTAAATTTAAAGTCTAAAGTAAAAATTAGAGATCAAAGGCAGAGTTAGAGCTGTGATTCTGAACCAGCCTTCACGCACAATCACGTAGTTACGTCCACAATCACGTAGATACAGCCACAATCACGTAGTTACGGCCACAATCACGTAGATACAGCCACAATCACGTAGTTACGGCCACAATCACGTAGATACAGCCACAATCACGTAGTTACGGCCACAATCACGTAGATACAGCCACAATCACGTAGTTACGGCCACAATCACGTAGATACAGCCACAATCACGTAGTTACGGCCACAAACACGTAGTTACGGCCACAATCACGTAGATTCGGCCACAATCACGTAGTTACGGCCACAATCACGTAGATTCGGCCACAATCACGTAGATTCGGCCACAATCACGTAGTTACGGCCACAATCACGTAGATTCGGCCACAATCTCCTAATCTGAAATCACGTGATTGCTTCAGCAGTTTATGGCACCAATTGGGTAGGCTAACTACCAGTTGACCCGTCATAACTAGTTTACATATGTGTGCACGCCAACTTTGATGAGTTTTCTAGTTATAAAAGACCATTAGATACAGTATACATATATGTATTTACTCCTCCTCAGTATACATATATGTATTTACTCCCTCCTCAGTATTGTCGGAAAGCTGTTTGCTCGAGTCGCATTGAAGAGGCTCCAAGTACTTGCAGAGAGAGTTTATCCAGAATCACAATGTGGATTCAGAGCTGGCAGGTCCACCATCGACATGGTCTTTTCCCTCAGACAACTGCAGGAGAAATGCAGGGAACAGAAGCAGCCACTCTTTGTAGCCTTCATAGACCTGACGAAGGCCTTCGACCTCGTCAGCAGGGATGGCCTGTTCAAGATCCTCCCCAAGATCGGATGCCCACCCAGGCTCCTCAGCATCATCAGATCTTTCCATGAGAACATGAGGGGCACCGTGGTCTTTGATGGCCTAACATCAGGCGCCTTTGACATCCGAAGTGGAGTAAAGCAGGGCTGCGTACTGGCTCCAACCCTATTCGGGATTTTCTTCGCAGTTATGCTGCGGCACGCCTTCGGATCTGTCACGGAAGGCATTTACCTCCGGACCAGGTCGGATGGGAAGCTCTTTAACCTCGCCAGGCTGAGAGCCAAGACAAAGGTTCGGCTGAGGTGTCTGCGCGACTTCCTCTTTGCCGACGACGCAGCAGTCACTGCCCACTCAGCTGAAGACCTCCAACGGCTCATAACCCGCTTCAGCGAGGCCTCTCAGGCTTTCGGACTCACCATCAGTCTGAGGAAAACACAAGTCATGGGACAAGGAGTGGACTCCCCACCTGACATCGGCATCTCTGATTCCAAACTGGAAGTTGTTCACGACTTCGTGTACCTGGGCTCCACAATCTCTGACTCCCTCTCTCTTGATACGGAGCTAAACAAACGCATCGGTAAGGCATCTACTACCATGTCCAAACTGACAAAGAGAGTGTGGGCCAACAATAGGCTGACTGAGTATACTA